TGCACTACTGATAAGGTTGCTGATAATTCGTCGATAGTTGACGACCGGTTGCACCCTTCTTGGGGCTTATCAGGTAGGCGCAGTCCACGAGTTTCCGTGACTTGAGACCCAATTACACGAAATTAGCGAAATACACTCACCTGGTACTCGGCAACCTTATGAGTAGTGCATTACGAGTATACACGTATCGCGATATCTCAAATGTCGTAGCGACTGAAACATGAGGCGGTTTGGTGCAGCACATTCAGTTGCCTAGAAACATCACAAACGAGAGATTCGGCTGGGTTCCAGATGAGTCTCTCGCAAAGCCAGATTAGTTTGCAAATGAGTGTATTTCGCTAGGTCAGATCTACTTTGAACAACTGTTCTAAGATACATTTCAGGACTTTGAGGTCGTCCAATGTGTGGTCCGCATGTAAACAGGTTTCTCAGCACGCGTTTGCAAGGGCTGCGTCTCCCGAGCGTTGTCCACCGTTAAAGGCTCTCTTTCAGACCTTGTCGACTGGACAACGGTAAAGTTTGGATTCTCGATATCTTCCTATTTCATATAGAGTGACGTATGTTCTTAAGGGACGAACGGAATGAAACGATAAATTCACGCAAATTTATTCCTTTTGGTGCACTGTTTATGAAGGCCATAATACAATGCACTAATAAAAGTTTATAGTATAGTTGACGATGGTGAGTGAGAGGTAACACGTATAAAAATAAATATAACGCAAAACAGGGGGGCAAGTCAACAGAGGAACTTATCGTCTGTGATAGTTCCTTGGTGAAAGTCCGGACGGCGGGAATGCGTTTTCTCCTCAGTATGGCTAATACACATGCTCCATAATTGTCCGTGGACTTGTGGAGAGCAGTTGACTTCCTGCTCCCTGCGCGCGCGCCCGAGTCTGTGTGTCCTGACTGTGCTCGGTATCCCTATATGTAGGTCCGTTTGCGTGTACGTGGGTGTGTCAGCACAGGAGCGGTGGCTACGCTAACTAGACGGTACAGACAATCGATGTCCGATGAGTCATCTTAATGTGACGTGATTTGTGAGTACAAAAAAAGACAAGTCTCGTGATCCAGTGAGCATGTGTGAGCTGAACAGTCAAGTATGTGAGTGACGGGGTAGCTACACTCCTCAGTTGTGACCCGTTACAGTGATCTACTGTGCAAAGCAAAGCCTCTTTTTGTCGGCAACTATACTCATGATGTAAACAGGGCGTCAAATTTTGGGGTGCATGGATTCATCAGATCCAATTGCGCAAAAAACGCATGGATGACAGCCAAACTCCCATCTTTGAGAGTTATTCACAATAGGCATCGCACCGTCGGCACAGTTCAGATCATGCGGGTTTGAACGGCTGGAGACATCAAAATCAGACGGAAGTACCGATGACAAGTGTTACAGTTTGATGTAATGGGTTGATGGAACTTGCCACACACCTGTTTGTTTTTCGTACCAACCCTCATAACACGTGAGACAGTTACCAACAGGCAAAATAATGGGGCATGTTAGATGACTAATTACCTGTGGGTGTGACAAATCCTAGATTTACCGTTCCAAGCTGATGAGTTGTTGGGTTTCACCATTGGGTGGAATAGGGTTCGAAGTAACAAAATCCAAGAACTCGAAAGTCGTTGTTCCAGCGCGGTTTGATGACGCCTATTGACGAGCCAATCGTTTGCATCGATCCTGAACACCTTGGCTCTTCCATACGTGATACCTCGAATGCTCCGAGGGGCGCTTGGATTGTAGAAAACACATGAGCAAGGTTCTACTCTCGTAGATGTGTCGCGCGAGGACATTAGTAAAAAGGAACCTAAAGTCCAATGCTTCGACGAACCGGAATGGATGCATCAGGCCAGAGGAAAGACTTTTCAAAAGCACGCAAAGAAAGCATCTAACCATAGGCCTTAACCGTTCTCAGCTGACGGTTGAGAAGGGAACTCTTCTTCAAGCTTTTTTTGCGTGTAAAGTTTATCCGGGGACCAGATGTGTGCAGTAATTATCTGGCAAAGAGAACTTGTTGGAATCATAGCATTTACGTGATGATTGGATTGTCAGTTTGCAAGCAGCTGACAGATTGAGCTGACCGTGTATAACGGGAGAGAAAAGGACAGATCTGTAGATGACAAAGCTTCAAGGATATAGTGGTAGAATACCTCACCTAAGGCCTTCTACATACTTCAGTATTCCTGTCTGCAAGATAACGCGAAGTTTCGTGACTTGTTTCAACTGACAAACTGATGACTGCTCACAGAGTTGATGTAGGCACATCCGGTATAGTATGGTGTGCACCGTAAACGTGTTTGGACAAGTTCTGAGTGTAAGGTCAGACAACATCCAGCGTCCCGTGCGTGTGTTTGCAACTCAGATCTTGCTCTGGGTTGTTGTGCGTTTTTGCAAGGTTTGTACGATTCTTTCCACAGTCCCTTTTGGGTGAAGTTGTTCTAGTGAGTTCATATCAAAAGTTGAAAGCACTGGCATCGAGTTTCAATCTCACGAGACCTGAGAGGGTATGAACTCCGGGCACCTGACATGCGAGGCGAGCATGTTACCACCACTACTCTACCAGCGCACCCTGGACTCACCTGAGTGAACAGATGTTAGTGCCGACACTCAAGGGATGTGGCTGGTTCGTCTGACCCCTCAAACGACCACACGGTAACTGGTTGTGTCAAGCGATTGATCCACCGGTGCGGACTTCCCAGTCAGATGCCCCCGCAGATATTTGTACGTGGTTGCGGGATCCTATGACTCATGTTCACATAGCTCTCGTTTGAAATTTCAGTTCCGTCCTGATGCATTAATTCTAGTGAGCTCAAATCACATCAAAATGACGATAACTTATTTCACTAGAAGACAAAACACAGTGGTCATGACTTCACCGTAGTGGGTTAGAAATTGCTTTATCAGGATCACGTGGAGTGTAGGGAAAACGAATGTTGCTCTCGATGGAGGAGAAGAGGATGAGGACGAGAAATTAAACCTCATGCGTGATGATTCAAGCAGAGGCCACAGTCACAGGCATAGATTTGATCACCTGTGAGGCCAGGACACTAGTCGATCATTTGGTATGAAAGAGGTTGTTGAAGGTCGGTACCGCTTTACAGCAAGTAGATAATTGTGGAGAATAAGCACTGTGTTGCAGGTCTCCAGTAAGTAGGCGGTGCGTATCCTACTTCAGAAGGTGGTAGCGAAATACATTCATTTGCAAACAAATTTGGTTTCGCGAGAGACTCACCTGGAAAGCAGCTGAATCTCTCGCTTGTGATGTTTTCAGGCAGCTAAATGTGCTGCCTTGTGTTCCAGTTGTTACGATATCCGAGATATCGCGATACGTGTATAGACGTAATGCACTACTCATAAGGTTGCTGAAAACGAGAGTTTCGGATGGGTTCCAGGTGAGTCTGTCGCAAGACCAAATTTGTTTCTAAATGAGTGTATTTCGCTAACTTCTTGCAGTTTGGTTTCAACTAGAGCATACGGAAACTCGGAGATTGCGCCTACCAGATGAGTCCCAAGAAAGGCGGAACCGACCATGGGCTGTCGAGTAGTGCAAGGTAGAGGGGTGTTTAATGATACCGCTTATTCGTACAAATCTCGACATTCATCGTTAATCACCAAAATGGATCCACATGGTGTGTATGAAATGATTCTAGATGACCATGATCAAACAAGTATGCTGTGGAACCCATTGAGACATTGATTTGTTGAGTGTCAAGGTCACTAAAAACGGTGAACTGATAGAATTGTACAAAAGCGAGCGCGCGCGGGCTTCAAACAGAGTTCTTAATAGGCCGAATGTCTCCGCTGAGATAACTCCACCGGATACGTATATCAGAAGAGGTGGCGCCAGAAAGTGTCATGCGGGCGGCATCTCCACCATTATCACAGGAATTAGGGGAGTAGACGGTCCAGCATTCGGCCGGACAGCACCGGTGCACCGTATACATCACTCCACAGAAACGCATTGACATAATCCGTAACTCACACCGACCCGAACCACCCAATGTGCACCGTAAATTGCAGGCTTCCCCCAAACCGTTGTCATGACCGCGAACGCAGACCATATGAAGGGTAGTGGATGGTGAATAGAGGATTCTTGAAAAACGCGGAATACAAGGGGGAGAGTTTCTCGTGGCTGAATGGAAATGTAGCCAACCACCCACCCACATGACCTTCCGAATATCCCACGTACGATTACAATTTACTCTGGTTGGTGACACTCAAAACACCAGCAAAAGCCACAATTGCCTACTTTGTTTGTTCGTTTCATGATATAACAATGCTTGAATGGTAATTAATTATTTGTTAATTTACTCACTCAACTCACGAAATACTGCTTGTACAATCTCCTTAAATTCTTAGACAAGACAGCAAGACATTTTGGTGTGCACTTGGGTTCCCTGCTATTACGTCACGCATTTATTTTTGGAACCCGGTGACTGCCCCTCTAGTCTGCAAACAACGGTTACTAGAGCTGGAGTGGAATTTGTTTTCGTGGGGGTCTGTGGGATAAAAGGAAATGCCGTTAGGTGAGAGTCGAAACGTTGATGTGAATTCTGACCAGCTGTTGATTTGAGCTGCTCGACAGCACGTCAGGTTGTAATTCACGTGGCGATCCACGATTGAAATATTGATGAAATGGTTGAACTATCAAAGTCCAAAATCTGTACAACCAAATAGGTTGATTGACTGTCTCGAGTATTCAGGCATTTCGCCGGTCAAACTAAGCGGATGTAAACTTTGTGCGTGTTCACTGAAAATCGATAAAGTTCACGAAGCACATTCATTTGCCGAGGGACCCTACATGATCTCTCGTTTGTGATATTCTTCTATTGAATGGGTCAACTGTGTAGTACACTGACTAAACGGCACATACTACTCATGAGGTTGCTGAGAATCCGCCGACAACTTCACCACTCTTATGGCCCATCATCAGTGAGACATCCCACGACCTGTTTTGGACTCTTCCCCGAGTTTCCGCCATATCTTGTAGTGTCTCCATCTAGGCACAATGAGGATCACGCGGTCCCCATCCTGGAAGGCGAGTAGCACCGACAGCACCCAAGCATTCCGCGATCTCCTTCATACTCCCCTGCCAAGTCAAAGGTTGGCCACCTCTCTGTTTACGCCACTCCGAATTGGGCATGGAAAACAGCACTCTCTTCGGTAAACGATGGTTCCGCATACGTAACACATGTCCCAACCAACGCAGTTTCTGGTGCTGGACAATTGTGCTTCAATGGGAGTACCCGTTACACAACCGAAAATACGCTTTCTAACGGCCTCGTTATGGATTCGCCGACACCAACCCACACGAGCTATGGTTCTGAGACAACGATTGTCGAACACCAAAAGACGTCTCAGTTCAGCTGCTCGAATAGGCCAAGTCTCACAGCCATACAACTAAACAGCCCGCAATGTAGCTTGATACACAGGTCCCTTGAGATTCAGTGATAAACCACTTTGACACCATAGGTGTCTCAAATTAGCAAACTTGACCCAAGCCTTGCAGATTGATGCACTGACCTCAACTGTCACACGGCAATCAGAACTAATACAACTTCCAAGATGCGTAAAACGCTCAACAACTTCCAGTACCTTTCCCTGGAAGTGGCGTGTTCAGTGACTGTACGTCCACGAGCCTGACCTTACACTTTGTGGGTGCAAAGTGCATACCAAAGGACGGGATGACTTTGGTCAGTTCATCCAAAAACAACTGCGTGTTCTTCTCCTCTTCAAAGATGATAACAACAAAATATCACACTGTGCTCAGCCAGAAAGGGGTTGCCTGGAACAGTATTCGCTTTGCTCCCACTGATTCTCACCATATTCGAGTGTTTCTCCTCTGTGCTTTTTTTCTCTGCATGACGTCGGATATGGGAACACGAATTCCCATCACAGCGGCAACTACCAGTCCTGTCCGCTCGATTCTCACCATTATGGATGGGTTCAGTCGAACCCGGTGACGGGGCAGTCCTTGTTGTAATGGGTCGGCGAACAATAGCATCACTGCTGGACGCTCCATCCAGAAGGAAGCTATTGCTTGTTTATCAAGAAATCCAGGATCGTGCTTTACGTTGTTCTCCATCCTAACGAAATGTCCGTGAATTTCCCAGGAACTCGTTCTATCAACGAAACCCTACAAAGTCTATCGAAATCTGAATTACACGTTAGAACTCATAAAAACGTTTTTTTGGTTGCTTGCCGAGGCGTGCTGCTCGGAATAGGATCAGGCTGTTGGCTCACGAAAACCGATTCGATTCTCGTCGAATCTTTCACTCCCACTCCTCTCTCGCTCCCCTTATTCATATTCGATTCTATTGTTCTTGGTGAGGATTCAATTGAAACTTTCAGATTTGGGTGTCATTAATTAATGAATTCTTGCTTGAGCAAACAAATTTTGTGAATGGTGGGGCTGGACGCCGGATGGGCGGAGGGAACAGCGAATTGTATATCAGCTGCGGGAAAGTTTTTTGAACTTCACTCCGATCCTTCCGTTGGGTGAAGCAGAGGGAACATCCTCAATTGCTTAAGGTCTGGTTGAATTTAATCACAAATGCTAATCTGAGCATTGTCATGGGAGATGCGATTGGCTTCTTAAAACGGAGAAAAAGTTAAAATCCAGCGCGTTAGGTTTTCTGTGGCAGTCACAAATTAGAATCAGCGTCGACCGCCGTCGATGCTAAGTCGTTCAGATGAATGCCGCTGGGCGATCATCTGACAGAACTTGGGTGACAGATGGGATCGAATAGCGAACAACAAAAGTGGGCATCTCCCGTCTGTGTTGGCCGAGTAACCCTTAAATTTTGAATGCGTCTCAGCCGAAAAATGAGGAGAAACGGTGTGAAACGGGGGAGACTTGTTATCCATTCTATAAGAGCGCCTTACAGCCCTATTGAATTGGACCAAACTGATCGGTTTTTTCAAGCCTCCAAGTAACTATTGTTGACTTTAGTGAAGATCGGTGGTTGAATCATCATCTTTGTGAATCATCGGCTGTGCGCATTTCACGAGACTCCAGCAGTGGTTCTGAGCCCTTTCGGACCTTCCGGGCAGTTGAGGAGCCCTCAATTGTTTGGCCACGAACGACTGACCACAACTGTGATTAGCTGTTACTCAGTCAGCACGTGACCACGTGATCCGGTTTAGCCTATCGAACGATGGGTGACGCTGTGTCCCGTCTTGGTGAGAGCTAAACACACTGCGCATCGGCCACCAATGACCAAACGGCTAAGTGTTCAACCGTTGGCAGAAAGGTTTCGGGTTCGTTCACCGCGAAGACTGGCTTCACCGACGACAGAAGTTCTCTGTTTTAACTCACCTGACCTCCGACGAATAGCAGCAACCCTCTTCTGATGAGTAGTTGTCATCTCGAAAGTACTCCAGCAACAAAGTCACAGGCTCGGATTTTAACTGGATTTTCAAGGTAAACATATGGTTCCACCTTACCGATATCTGAAGCCTAGAAGCGCGTTTCCATCTTGACAGGTATGCCTCCTCAATCCTATCTAAACGGAAGTCATTTCAACAGTATAATTGTTTTCTTCAACCTTCTAGACGCTACAGATTCTACTTCGTTGAAGTTTCAACGCTACTACATATCCCTGGGTGTCTGTTAGGGGACAACTAAACATCAATCGTTATACACTACTCACAGGGTTGCTGAAAATTCGTCGACAGCCCACGACAGAGTGTGCCCAGTGCCTGAAAAAAGACTCACAGAGAGAGAACACAACAGCTATATTCCGAACAACGAGTGCGAGAGCGGTTGCGTGCGAGTGCGAGAGCAAAAGTTACAACGGCCCCACGATATTTAAAGGGGACATTCTGACATTGATCCAGGCTGTCTGACGGGCATGAGTGAACACCCATCAACATCGATCGTGCCTCTATGAAAAGCCGGAACGCTGATCACATTCGGTTGTGCTTGTGTGGCGTGCGTGAACACTCATCAGCTTTGCTGAATTGATTGATACTTGCCGGCTTTCCTTTTGAGATTTTGGTGAAGCAGTAGTTTCCGGGTGTTCTGAAGTTACTTTCTGGAATCCGACCTTTCTGGTAGTGACAATGCAAGATTGGGTGGGATCGAGTCCATGACCCATGATTGTGTGTGAACCAATCGATGAGGTTCTTCTACCCAGAAAGCCGAAAACATCCAGGTGTACTGGCGGCGGGAGACAAAATCGTTTCCCGAATAGCAAGAGTCAAAACAATATGTGTCGACCTCCGACATTTGTGGTGATGTCAGCCTGGGTATTACCGCAAAATGGTGCCATACCGAACTCCAATCGGGGAACGGAGACTTGGCCGCCTCGCGCACTGCACTCCAGTGCACAGCTGAAAAACTGAACTGAACTGATCTGATCTGACCTGAGCTGAACTGAACTGAACTGAACTGAACTGAATTGAACTGAACTGAACTGAACTGAACCAAAAACGTATTGGCTGACGCAGTCTACCACTTGAAAGAACTACTGGGACTGAACTAGCTTTTATAATATATTATATTCACGCATATCCCCATGCACCCTGTGAAAGCGAGTCGTAAAACAAGAAGGCCCCGATGGGTACACTTGTCCATAGGCATGGAGACGTATTTGTGCTGGAGCGTTCAGGCGAAATCTCCAAAACACATGCCTGCGGTTTAGTGTGAAATACCCAGGAACCAACCAATCGATTGTGAAGTGGTTCTCAATGTCCTTGAAAACCCGAAGTGAGACTTTGGAGAAAAAATATGACGGGAAACTACAGGGCATGTCCAGTGACGTAATCAACATGGTATTTTGAAACTTGTCCATAAATTTCGCTCCGTAGACGTTCTAGGGATGGCCTCCGACAGAACTGATTAGTGGGTGTGTGATTCAATGCAGACTGACAAACTGAGTAGCTTTCAGTGAGAAGTCTGGTCGCACTGAGCAATGCCAAATGATGGGTCTGTTGCTTAGGCTAGTAAGAGACTATCTACAGGGCGGTCAAGAATACGTGTAGAATCAACAGGCCTACCGCACATCACTGTGGGCTCTAAAACTCCAACAGCGTCGTTCGTAAGGTGGTCTGCCCTACCGAGCAAAAAGGGTGCAACTCGAATTGAAAGATTATATCACTTGTCTTCTTTCCCGAGAAGAAAACGGTCTTTTCGCAACCTGACCAAACCATCATTCATTTGTGCCGTAGGTCCCCAAAACGCAAAGATTTGACAAACGACTGCTCCAACTGGTCAAACCGCATCAATTCTGGATGGAGAATGATTCGTTCTTTATCTACTGATTTTGATTTCTGAAGTAGTATGATGCTCAGACTGAAGAGTTGACGGAAATCGATCAATGGACCCCCCTAATTCGTGAGCTGTATGTTGAATGATTGCCAAAACAACCGCTATGCCATAGTAGATTCTAGTAGAACGTAAGGTTGAAGGAAACTCGGGGACTGCGTCCACTTGATGAGCTACAACAAGGGCGAAACCGGTCGTGGTCTGTCCATGAATTTTCAGCAACCTCATGAGTAGTGCATTACGCATATACATGCATCGCGAATACCGTAGCGACTGAAACATGAGGCGACCTGGTGCAGCACATTCAGTTACCTGGGGAAGTCGAAACCGCGAGATTTAGCGGGGTTCCAGGTGTGTCTCTCGAAAAACAAATTAATTCGTCCAGTGTTTATTTACGCGCATACGGAGTATACGCAGCTCACAACACAAACGTGATAATCGATTAGTGCGTGAGGCTAACGGCATCCTTCAAACGCCCGCCAGTCCATCAAGGTCAGAACCACAGAAAAAATCGCACTAACTGTTGTGTCAGAGTGACTACATGCTTCTTATCAAGGGAGGGTCGTTTTCGAGCAGTGATCCCACCTGTGATCAACTGTAGGAAGGCACTTTTATCTCTGAAGTTCCTGGTTGGATGTGGGTTGAAATACTGCCAAGAACCAGAGAGAGGAGAATGACAAAGGGTCTTCGAAAAAAGCCTTCAGGTCAAGAGCAGCGGTTGGTGACTTGAGACTACTCAAGTAGTCAAAATTTCTAAACAAGTTCTAACAGATTGTTTGTCCAACCTCTTCTCAGGGGGCCAAACTGGCAGGAAAAATTCTGTGAATGCCGCATGGACGATCCAGTGTCTCGGCGACGGTGTAACTCTGTGTGTGCGCGCGTACGATCTCACACAGTCTTCAGAAGGACACTCATATCCTACAGCTTAAAAAGCATTGGAGGGTATGTTTCCATGGCTCCAACTGGTCAAACCGCATCAATTCTGGATGGAGAATGATTCGTTCTTTATCTACTGATTTTGATTTCTGAAGTAGTATGATGCTCAGACTGAAGAGTTGACGGAAATCGATCAATGGACCCCCGTAATTCGTGAGCTGTATATTGAATGATTGCCAAAACAACCGCTATGCCATAGTAGATTCTAGTAGAACGTAAGGTTGAAGGAAACTCGGGGACTGCGTCCACTTGATGAGCTACAACAAGGGCGAAACCGGTCGTGGTCTGTCCATGAATTTTCAGCAACCTCATGAGTAGTGCATTACGCATATACATGCATCGCGAATACCGTAGCGACTGAAACATGAGGCGACCTGGTGCAGTACATTCAGTTACCTGGGGAAGTCGAAACCGCGAGATTTAGCGGGGTTCCAGGTGTGTCTCTCGAAAAACAAATTAATTCGTCCAGTGTTTATTTACGCGCATACGGAGTATACGCAGCTCACAACACAAACGTGATAGTCGATGAGTGCGTGAGGCTAACGGCATCCTTCAAACGCCCGCCAGTCCATCAAGGTCAGAACCACAGAAAAAATCGCACTAACTGTTGTGTCAGAGTGACTACATGCTTCTTATCAAGGGAGGGTCGTTTTCGAGCAGTGATCCCACCTGTGATCAACTGTAGGAAGGCACTTTTATCTCTGAAGTTCCTGGTTGGATGTGGGTTGAAATACTGCCAAGAACCAGAGAGAGGAGAATGACAAAGGGTCTTCGAAAAAAGCCTTCAGGTCAAGAGCAGCGGTTGGTGACTTGAGACTACTCAAGTAGTCAAAATTTCTAAACAAGTTCTAACAGATTGTTTGTCCAACCTCTTCTCAGGGGGCCAAACTGGCAGGAAAAATTCTGTGAATGCCGCATGGACGATTCAGTGTCTCGGCGACGGTGTAACTCTGTGTGTGCGCGCGTACGATCTCACACAGTCTTCAGAAGGACACTCATATCCTACAGCTTAAAAAGCATTGGAGGGTATGTTTCCATGAAGGAATCTACTCACAGGGTTGCTGAAAACTTTTCGACAGCCCGCATTCAGCAGCACATTCAGCTGGAGGACATCACAAAAGAGAGATTCAACTGAGTCTCCCGTGAAAACCAAACTGATTTGCAAATGAGTGTATTTCTCGAAAATAGTCCAATTTGGATTCCAGTAGAACATAAGGTTGACGGAAACTCGGGGACTGCGCCTACCTGATGAGCCCCAGGTAGGGCGAAACCGGTGGTGTGCTGTCGAAGAGTTTTCAGCAACCTTGTGAGTAGTTTCCTTTATGAAAATATATACTGCGATATCTGGAATATCGTGCCAACTGAATCATGAGGCGGCCTGTTTGCAGCACATTCAGCTGGAGGACATCATAAACGAGAGATCCAACTGAGGCTCGCGTGAAAACCAAATTGACATAAGCTAGCGGATACAGAATATAAAGAGCCGTACGATAACATTCGAGCCCGTCTTACCACATTTTGACTGTTTTCCGTTTTGATTCACACCATTGAGCATTTTTCACGAAGCTATCCTCACAACACCACCTTTCTTTCCGGTTGCCACAGGCAATGTCGGTTTTTTGTAATTCAGCCGCGTCTTGTTACACAACGATCCGGAAACGTTCTAGGCGATCATCCAATCGATTCGTATTTTGACAAGCGCGGTTCTGTTCGAACCATAAATCATACTGTTTCTCAGAATATCCCCCAACCGCTCAGTTCACCCTCGACGATCATTTATGCATCCAGCAAGTTGAGTTTGGGGGCATATATTGTCACATTCTGTGGCAGAATGCAAATGAATCCAAAAGAATAAATTTATGAGGAGATCTTGTGTTTTTAAATGAGTGAACCAATCCGATGGTCCACATTTGTTCAAAGTATACGAATGAACGAAGCGTCCTTCCGGGCGGGTAGGTTCCAATCGCTGTACTTTCCAGAGGCTCGAACAGAACTATTTGTGGATACACGACTCTGTTGGAATTTGCATTCGAACGGTGCATCCAAAATTTCCATTTTGTTCTTATCAAATAGGAGTTACTTTTTTCCCACTCAACGTCAGCTGCTTCCCAACGCCATTCTACTTTCGAGAAATTCACTCATTTGCAAATCAATTTGGTTTTCACGGGATTATGATGTTCTACAACTGAATGTGCTGCATACAGGCCGTCTCATGCTTCAGTTGGCACGATATTCCAGATATCGCAGTACATTTTCATAAAGGAAACTACTCACAAGGTTACTGAAAGCTGTTCGACAGCCCCACGAACGGTGAAAACCAAATTAATTTGCAAATGAGTGTATTTCTCGAAAACAGTCCAATTTGGGTTCAAGTGGAACATATGGTTGATGGAAACTCGGGGACTGCGCCCCCCATTCTACTTTTTTTCGTCATAACAAACCACATTGGGCAGACATTCATTAGTTACCAAATTAATTTGAACTGATTTGAAATTCAAGCTGAAATCAGGTGAATAGAATCGAATTTGAATGAGGAGAGAATGGAATGAGCAATGTTTGTGTGCCCGCGGCATGGTGATATTCCGAGTGGCCGTGTTCGCGAAAGCCACACACTGTCAACTGGGTGAGCAAACAAACTCACAATCTATGATTCTTGGTCACGACGTAGGATACTACTGGTGTGGGCAATGAAAACGTTTTGACAGTTTCACTTGACGGTTTCACTGTCCTTGAAACTAGGCGTACAAGATGTCCACGGTGAAAGACAGAGGCCGGAGCCTCTTATGCGCGCTTTTGTTGGTTTTGACTGATTTGAAATTTGTTCACAGCTTCACGTCTTGCGGCACACGACCTTTTGTCTCAGAACTGTCGTTCAACGCCTACAACACCTCAGTAAGATGTCTGACCACACAGTTTGGAACAAAGCGGAAAGAACTAGAAAAAATCGTTGCTAATTCTTGGTTCACGCAGACGGTCACAAACCAAACACTGATGACCGGTCAAAATGCCCAAACACAGTACACCGTTTCCACCGAACCTCTGCGTTAATCTTGCACCCCTCAACAAAAAAGAAAGGAGGCAACATTTTACTGGACTCTCAACCAATTTTCATAAAGGAAACTAGTCACAAGGTTGCTGAAGACTCTTCGACAGCCCACGACCACTTCCGCCCTTCTTGGGGCTCATCAGGTAGGCGCAGTCCCCGAGTTTCCGTCAACCAGTTTTCTTGCAGCCGTAAAACGTTTGCTTATGCAAAGAGTGCAGAACGATGGAATTTATCACTTTATTACTGAAATTTTATCAAATTTGTCGGTTTTTCGGTAATCTACTGTCAAATCTAGGCCACTCAGTCACCTTCGCCACTGGTGGGAATGTCATCGATGGTCGAATCATCCCATGGGATATGTGCAGAATGCAGCCGATTGGTGAAATCGCCTTGACCTTGAACAAACTTGGCATGTGCGCAAAGTTCACACAAGGTTACTCAACGATCAGAAAAGGTTGGACAGAGGAGAATGAGAGAGTTGGATAAGGCACGTATCACTCAGTCGATGGATGGTCACTTCAAGCACCAAATTTCCAGGTGCACTGTCGCAACAATTCACGACAACTGATGACGAAATGTTAGCCTTAAAATCAAACAGGTATGGGGAGTCGTCATGAGAAATTTGGAACCTAACTTTGGTAAATTCACACCACCCCTGTTCCAACTGTCTTGTTTTTGTCTGTATGCTGATCCACACGCAAACCAAGTGCTTACCTTCGGTCGAGCCAGAAGTCGAACCCAGGACTCCTAACATCTAAAGCAAGGGTGTGAACAGACGAGAGTGCTTATTCTTGAGCAGTGACTTTAGTATAAACGTTTTCCGCATGATTCTGTGTATCTCCGAAGACCCTTGTGTCGGTAATTTTACTTTGTCAGGCCGTAGACGGTTTCGTAACTCCGACCTACAATGCTCTTACCGGAATAACTGACGAGTTTTGTCAACCTTTGTAAGCCGCAAGTTACTAGTTTCGTTATCTTGTCTCAGTACTTGGTGACCCAGCTCCAAGTTTCTTAACGTCGGTTGCATAGGCGTGAACCGTATCGCGGGAATTTTAGTTCACTCGGTAAACATTCCCGGGGCACATTTATCTTTGTTGCTATCGCGGTCACTTCTAATTTAGCATTTGAAAACTATTCACTTGAACGCATACCTGATCTCTCCCCCTCCTCAAATCATCTTAATTCCTTTTGTTTTCCCTTTCGTTCTTTTCAGAAAATGTCCACTGCCAACTTTAATTGATTGATTAGGTATTCATTGAGAACGAGCTTATCAATCAACGAAGTAAGCGTGAAATCGCTCGGACTTATAGCATACCAGTGCTCAGGTGTTGAAAGTTTTGACAAGTGTGTGAACCGAACTGCAATTTCAATGGAAATTTCATCCTCTCAGTAAACCCGGCCGATACTAAAAAACCAAGACACCAAAAGTGCGCATCGAATGGAACTTAGCAGTTCGGCCATGAGCTGCTTATCAGTAGTGTGAGTAACTCTCACTTAGACAGAATAGAGTGCCACTCATGCTTCAGTCACGAAAACCACGTCACGTGATCTGGTATTGATTGGCTCCTCTAATGACAACTTTTCGGACAGATAGATAGATAGATAATGTGAGATTCCGCCCTACCAGAGGATGAGCGGCGCTCTATTTCGTCTAAATGAAAGCCAATCACATTGATGTTCAGCCATTTGTGAGGGACTGGTTAAGTTTTCAACCAATGGCCAGAAGTTCTCAAGTTTGAAGCTCCCTACTGGGGTTCCGTGAGATGCACGGTGTACACTGCCCCTCGGCTTTTCAGCATAGTTTGGATTCGTTGACTGGAAGATATCGTAGCCGAAATTGTTTAGTACTTCCCGGTGGATATTGTGAGTTCATTTCACCTCGAATCCCTATCGTTTCAAGAAGGCATTTCACTTTATGGCCTCGCCTATTTGGTTGAACTTTCAGCGAATGAAGAATTTGAGTGTACTTATATGAGTATACTTACAAGCACAGTCAAGATTTCTGATTTCGAAATAATCTCGTGACACCTCGGGGTCTGTCTTGCAAGGTGGAACCTGCGCATCAGCGAGGACGATTTCAGGGTAGTATTACTCAGATCAAATAGCTGAAATTAGAAAATTATTTTTAAGAGTGATGCGCGGAGTCCAGCCCTCATCAAGTAAAATTGTTTTTTGAGCTTTCATCTTTCCGACGATTTCTCAAACCGTTTGTGAGTCCAACACCCATTCTGAAACTAGCAGTCCACCAATTGCCCAAACCAATTTGAAATAATTGTTTTTTCGGAACTTTTCCACCTAAGATGACGAATTTCACCCCCTCGCTTTTTCCGTACCACTGGAAGACGGATTTTTCGCTAAAATTTGTTCAAAAAATCATCTGGAATCGACAAATCACGCGGAAATTGGATATGCTGATTCATTGGTTTACTACCGCACCAGGTTGAGGACAGTGGTCGGCCAACCAATCTCATCATACCAATAAAATAATTACACCTAATTCACAATTTAAATAGAGAACGACTCTAATGAAATATACTCATTTGCAAACTAACTTGGTTTTCCGACAGACTCACCTAGAACCCAGCTGAATCTCTCGTTTGTGATGTTTCCAGGCAACTAAATGTGCTGCACCAGGCTACCTCATGTTTCAGTCGCTACGATATTTGAAATATCGCGATACATGGATATTTGTAATGTACTACTCATAAGGTTGCTGAAAATCCATCGACAGCCCACGACCGATTTCGCCCTTCCACTTCGGGCTCATCAGGTAGGCGCAGTCCCCGGGTTTCCGTCAACCTTATGTTCTACTTGAAACCAAATTGCACAAAATTAGCGAAATACACTCACTTTCACGGTTTCTATCTTCTACCCCGATATTTCGGCCTTCAACCGGATCACGGGTGAAACCGGTCTTGGGCTGCCAAAGAGTAGTGTATTATGAGTAGTGTATTACGTCTGCACATGTATCGCGACATCTCGAACATCGTACCAACTAAAACATGAGGCGGTCTAGTGAAGCATATTCAGTTTCAAGAAAGCGCCAAGTAATGAATATATTGTGATTATATTTTAGGTTCCATTATTATTTTTTTAGAGTTGATGGGGCGCCTGGTTTCCTCTTTGGCGAGATGGCCCAAGGTGTTAGATCTCGAATTTACTGACCGGAAGGTCCGTGGTTCGAACCTGACGTCTGCCTCCCGACTTCCCCCGTCTAGGCTTGAGCAACCTGACAATATCCCAGCCCTCGTGCTTCCTTCGGGCAGCATGGCAGCTAGGCACCGGAAGGGTGTTACAGCTAGATGTTTTTTAGACCAAATGAATACTTTATTTTGAAGCGGTGAGGACATAAAGTAAGAGCAGCCTCTAAGTTAAACGATCTCTTTTCTCAAAGTGCGTCCAGTTCAGTTCATCACACAAATTCATTTCGATATAACAAATTTAAAAGTTACTCATTGGTATTAAATGCGAATAACCTTCTCTTGATCTATGCAGATTAAAGAGCCTAGAAGAGTGTTGGAACTTCAGAGGGACATAGCAATTCTTCCTAAATTTGAAAGTGATATCAATTTCCTGGCTAGTTTCAAGAACGAAGGAGGCTTATTTGACTGAGTTTTATATCTGCAAGCACCTCGGTCGTGTGTGCTTGGATCGCAGTAGGCCACCCTCCATTCGTTCTTTTTGTTTACGTTTGTAGAATTCCCGGAAAGCTGAATTGAGTGACGCGCTAAACCACACGTATAAAATGTCTAAATTAAAGGGACACAAACCGCAATTTTTGGGGACTTTCGTCTAACTGCTGCTCGAATTCGTGGACGTCCAGTGAAAACCCAGCAAGAACGGCAGCAGCTCGATGTGAATCACCGACAAACGTGCACGCACAGTACGTGGTAGCGCAGGAGGTCAAAAAGCGCGCGTGAAAAATTGATCAGAATCGGTTGGTCATTTTATGGGTCAAACATTCATGAGGGGTTGTGGTAGCCACAGAAAACAGTGGATTCAAGAAAGGGAAAGGTTTGACCGGGAGAATGGAGGCACAATGTTAATGAACACGCTTCTGCAGAAAGCTAACCTGGTTGTACGGCGGTGACGCACCGCAATGTCACGGCTGTCAATGGGCAGATGGAAAATACTGACCCATTACTTCGTTTTTCCGCTTCAATTCATTACCTGTTGAGTAAAAACCAGTCGGATAGTCTTACCGGATGTTCCAATGGGTAGTCAGTCTAAAAGTTTCAATTAGTCCCTGCTGATAATTTCAAGGGCACTGTTCCGTCTTTGTTGAGAATCTTCAGCATTGCGCACCTCATGTATGTTTGGCTAGATTTGAACCCA